AACTTTAGTTTTATAAAAACGTGTGTACATAAATAATTATTGGTTATTGTCCTGTGGTATATTATCTCCCACTGAACGCGCCGAGTTCCGGTTCGGACCCTGGAATTTAAAAATAGAAATAGGTTATAGTGTGCAAAGGAGGATATTAATGTCTGCGTAACTGTTTGCGTATACTTATCGGTAATAGACCCCTCAGCTACCCCTTTTAAGGTCCGCTTGAGGTTCCGGTCCTATGCCTTTCTGAAACTGTTCTTAAAGACATCTTGGAAGCTGCGGCGGTTCACTGCGAGGGATCCGCGGGCAATTATGTAAGCCTGTGATGGATTTTGTGTTAAAGGTTAAGTATTGTAAATTACGAAGAATGACGTTGTACGCTTCTGTCCTGAAGAAGGACTTCTTTCCTTGTTGCCCTCCGTGCGTCACTCCCTCGGTGATGCTGTCGACTAAGAGGCTCTGTAAGACCTGTCCAACGTATGCCATCACATCGTCCGCATCGATGGAGGCAAAGTAGACGATCTGGTAACTTTGGTTTATGGTGCGGGGTCAATTACCGCTCGGTTATCGTAGTCCGTATCGGGCAACGCCCGATTAAAATCTATTAATGCACTCCATGTAATCTATTTTGGGATTATCCGACGTTGACTTGGGGCAGATATCCCAGTCGTGGCGTGTACTTGCCCACTAACGATTCGCTCCAACATACTTTTCATGCAGAGCTGAAGTTCCTCCTGCATTACAGCATAGTGCATCTGGTCGACTATTGTTTTAACGATCCACTTCAGACACTTCTTGTCTTGCTTGCTTGTGCCTCTGTCCCGCCGCCTTATATCGGGGCATTTCCCACTGCTCCCTAAGAAGAAATATGCATAAGCTTAAGTGCTTACCTGAAAATGGGGGAAAGACCCTGAAGGCCTTTTGATAGCTCTACCGGAGTCTAAGGAAGATTCCTACAGCAGCAGTTAATAACGCACATGTGTCGCTTAGTCTGTCTAATTACGTAGATTAAGCTACGTAATGTACAGCTGTACACCTTTACGCTCAAAACGATACATGTCTTACGAGTATTCTGTAACTGTTTCATCTGTCGTTCATTTTTATCTCCTGCTTTATAAAGCGGGCCATATCTTCACCCAAATAGCGCTATATAAAGTTATTTATGCGCAAAGATTCGGGACCATGTTGTCTAGGGACGTGCGCCCTCTTCCTCTTCAGGAGATGATGAGCACAACGTTATTTATGTATTGCTCTCATATGAAAGTACTACATAATACCAAAAGAACTTTTTGAATGTTTATCTAAATCATCAGCCTAACTTGCGTATGCGGATTTTTTTCTTCTTTTTAATCATTGCCTACACTCCCAAAAAGGCAGCCCCTTGCAAGCGGCCGTGTGCTCTCTCTGAGCAATTTATTATTCGGTTTCCCGAGCCTACATATCATAGCCCTGGCTCTGTCTCGTCGCGTAGGCTAGGTGGGTGATACTGCCACGTCATTTATCAATATAAAAAAATTCGTACGTTTGTCACCGCTCCGTGCCCAACATAGTATTGAACACACAGTAGATATAATCACCTGCAGCGATCGAAATGGCCTATTATCCGAACTCTCGAACAGAAATACCCCTCACGTCATGTCAATAATTTCCGTAAAGTGAACTGATACTGCAGCGAACTTAACTTTCATAGGGTCTGTGAACTTCTTCTTTTGACGTCCGTATTCCCTTCTTTCATACGCCGGGTGCCAATTGCAATGTTTTATTCACACTTTTTCCGATTTAATTGACAACCCGTAAACCAGGCAAAGTCTTGAAAACCCGCATGAATTTTTTTCGGCACTATTTCATACTCAACTGCAGGATAAAAGCTGGTACTCACCCGATTTCGCACGGACACTAACAAATTTTTACCGCGCATGGCATGCTCAAATTGTGTATCCTATAAAAAGGTGGGTGGCTGGTGTCACCATGCTATTTACCTATGTGCAATTGCCAAGCTTTTCTTAGTTCAACTTCGGCATCACTCTATCGAAATTTCCCATAAAAAGCTCGTTTGGCTTTCACCCTTTTGCATACCAACACAATTCATACATTCCATCTGGAAGTTAATCTTCCCTCTGCCTTTCATCGCGCATAGGAAGTATATAACTGCAATTGCCTAATGCGACATAATTTGAAAGTTGACTTCCTTATTTTATTTGTTATTCAGTAGATTTTAATAATACGTAATATGAATCCGGCCTTTTTGACCATTAGGCATTTAGCTAAATGCACTACGATTAAGCTGCAGTTGTTTGTCTTTGACAATAGACACATTGGATGTTTACTGGCGTGTGAGGGTCGTTAAACGAGCAGATTATAATGCGGAATCTCGGAACCGGTAAAGACAACGAAGGCGGAATAGGATTTTTTGTGCTCTTACCCATTGTAAGGTCCGCTTCCTTAACACCTGAAGCAACCTTTTATATCACAATGAAACAGTCAAAACTTTCAGTTGCCTCTTAATGGTCCCAAATCCGAGTAGGTTACGGCCACGTTTAGTCTTTCAACTCTAAACATGTCATCCAACTGGAGAAATTCCAAAAAAATGGATCGTGTGCACGTATTTGCATGTAAAAGTCGGGTAAAGAACCGTGTTTGCAATAATCTATGGCTTTTTTACCATTTGTTTCCACGTCTTGTGAGCAAACAGTACAAGCTTTCTAACCTGAGTCTTAACGTTTGTTGATGGTTTTATAATCGCCTACTGCAACAACAGTTTTCAAACGTAGATGGGAATTAAAGGCCTTTGTAGAACCTAATTTTTCTATCCGCTCCTCATCATACTTCATTTAAAGCAATAATTGTAACGCTCCCAGACTCTTGGGGTATCATTTGCATCTCATTTATTAGATGACCTAATTTCTTCCTTTTATCTTCCTAATAGAAATCAAACTATGGCGGGTGTAGTTTTGGAAACTCTCAATTCTAAAAAGCTCATCGCGTTCGGAATCGGACTCCTGCTTGCCCAAACTGCCTTCTTTCTCATTGGTGGGCTCATTGCGCCTGCTCCAATGACTACGGAACAAATTTTAATGTCAAAATGCATCGACAGGGAAACAACGCCTGGTAATCAAGATAAGTGGCTGTACTTGCGACCAGCTGAAAACGCCAGCTGCAAGAAGTTTCTTCCTGACTCCTATCTATCCGATGAAATGCCGCCCGATGTTACGGCTGACCGAATAGTCTTTGTCGCTCAATTTCCGCATCAACGCGACGGATACGACCTAAAGATGACTCGTTGGTTCCAGCAACTTTTAGCAGTTATGATGTTAGATATTAAATATCATCAGAAGTCGCAGGTTTGTCTTGTGTAGCTTTTTGTTTGACATTTCACACCTTTTATCTCTTCCGTGCTCGTTAGGTATCCTTAGCTAAATCAGAAGTAATGGCTAAATCGGTGCCCACATCCTCTCTGAAAAATGACTTTACAGGTTCCAGTCCGGTGTCGCGAATTCCCATTCAATTGTGCGTGATGTTTTGTGGATTTATTTGTCTTTCTTTAATACAGAATAGCATTGCCTGACGCTCTGACCTAATTGAATAAGAATTGCCTCGCAGAACTGTGGAGCGGGTTTACAAAGTAGAGCACCCAGCTTTAGTCAGCAGGCCGACCAAGCGATCTTCTTCCTCAGCGCTTGTTCTGTATATGCCAGTAACATTTTTGCAAACGTTTGTCATTGATTAACCAAATGTTACACTCAGCCGCAGTTATCCTAACATATGACTTGAAGTTCGTCAAAAGCGTTTTGTCTTCCTTCAAATACAAAAACATTTACTTGCAGCCTATTTCCACTACCACCCTAGTTAAATTCTTATTTTCATTCACGATAGTAATATGAATTAAATGCTGCTGTTCAAATTTGAAAAATTCAGAATTCCGGGGTCAAAATAAGGGTTCACCTTCTGCTCACCGGAAGAAATTTGTAGCTTTGCTGACGTTTCGGACAGCTGGGCCTATTACCCTTTGTCATAGCGAATATTGACTCTATCGATCAGCAAGTTAAAAATTGCGGCTGTGCGTGTTGGCCTTGGGCTGATCGAATTTTCTCCGGTCGCTGCTTGGCCATGCGTGTTGATTAAGGCTTGGTGTGACGGCAGTTGGTGTTCTGTTTCGTTTCCACGCTAGAGGATGCTCATAATCATGCTCTCTCTTCCTGTGGTTTTATCACAGGGCCGTCTTCGTCTGCAAATCCTGACTTCGATTTGACCGAGTCCTGTCCTTTACTTACTCAATAGTCTAGGACTTTGTAGGCCGCAGGGAGGTCCAGATGCCTGTTGACAAATTTGGCGTCTGAGTACCATGCCTCAAGCGTCAATCTTTCAGCTTTTGAGTCTTTTCGGCCTACGATGGTTGTGCCCCTAAGCTCTTTGCAGTTTGTACTTGTGTATTCATCAGTTTGGCTGTTCATGTATTAAACCATTCCGCTAGTACCTGTCTCTTAGTTTGTGAAACAGTCTTAACGTTTCCTCTGAGAATTAAAATTCTTCAGTCTCCTTTTCTTTGTTTTACACCTGCCGAAACTATTTGCACTACTTTTGCTTCCTGTCGCAACTGAGGCTGGCATACAGCGTTTACATCTGCGTTTTCTGTTCTAGATGAAGGACGATGCCCTCCTTACATTTGACATTCGTCTCGGCTACCGAAATCGCGATGACGCTAGCGACGACTGGAAGGAAATTGCTCACTCTCGTGAGACACGTCCCCTCTCCTGTAAAGCTGACGCCGCGGCTACGAAGCAGGCCAGTGAGTCAGACTCCATAGAGGATGGATACTACTATGATTGCGAGGTCTTACCACTGTTTAGTCTGGGAAGTTGCCATCATGACTATTATCTGGTCAATGTGCGGATACCTGTGGACTTGAAGGCCAATATCAACACTGGCATTGGTATGCTTCAAGATGTCTGGATGGTTGAAATCCACCAGAACGGTGGATTTACAAAGGTACAGACATGTCTCCTCTGTTTGTTTCCCCCCCCG